CATTTTCACTCGTTTGGTATGCCAAGAGCAATAATTAGTGATGGAGGAAAGCATTTTTGCAATCAATTCTTAAGGAAATTATTTCTTAAGTGCTCCGTTACTCATAAAGTCGCCACTCCCTACTATCCTCAAACAAGTGGGTAAGTAGAAGTTTCAAAACGGGAAACTAAGCATATTCTTGAGAAAACGGTTAACACAACCCGAAATGATTGGTTACGCAAGTTGAATGACGCTTTGTGGGCTTACCGAACGGCATATAAGACTCCTATTGGCATGTCTCCTTATAGACTTGTTTATGGAAAGCCTTGCCATCTTCTGGTTGAGCTAGAGTACAAAGCTATGTGGGCAATTAAAAAGCTCAATCTTGACCTTGATAAAGCTAGAAAGAACCGATTACTCCAATTAAGTGAGTTGGAAGAGTTGAGACACAATGCCTATGATAATGCCATACTCTACAAAGAGAACTAAAGCTTTTCATGACAAACACATTGTGAAGAAATCTTTTGAGCCTGGTCAAAAAGCTTGGCTTTTCAACTCTATGTTAAAACTCTTTCCCGGAAAGTTACAAACCAAATGGGAAGGCCCGTATGAGATCATCTCTATTGCGCCGCATGGGGCGGTTGAAATTCAAAGTTTAAAGAATGGCAACACATTCAAGGTGAATGGGCAAATATTGAAACCCTATATTGAGGGATAAGTTTTTCAAAGGCATATGGAAGCTACCCTTTTGGTAGATTCAATCTATGAAGAGATATAGTGATGCACTCAATGTTTTTAATGAGAAGTTTAAATTTTTGCTTATTTTTAGCTGTTCGATCGATTTCGGAATAGATTCGATCGATCGAGACCTGACCATTGGGTGTGACACTTGAGCTACCTATATAAGGATTTTGAGCCATTTTTACATCATAACTTACACATCTCATATCACAAATCTTGGAGAGGAGGCTAGAGACTAGAGACTAGAGAGCTTTACACATTTTGGGAGTTCTTCTATTCATCTAGGGTTTTCATGAAGAAGGAGGTCATTCCTACCATGGAGATAGTCCTTGAGGGTTGGATGACTACATCAATGAGTGGCTAAACATCTTCTTGGGGCTAGAGTTAGCCCTAAACATGCTTTCTAGACCTTAATGCTTTGTATTTTGAGGGAATTTGTGTTGTAATCTTGTCTTGACACTTGATTTATATATGAATCTTATTCTTACAATGATTTGTGTTGATTAATACTTCATATTGATCATTTCATTCTATCCATATGTTTATGTATGCTAGAGTAGATGTTCATGTGTTTATCTCTTGGTTTTGTGATATTGATGCATGTCTATGTGTATTGATGCTATGAATCTAGAGATTGTCAAGGCATAGTGCTTAAATAGTATACTCTTGTGGTTTATTTAATGGTTCATACTCATTTCTTGATGGATTGTGCCTCTACTTTAGTTTAATTAGTTTAATTTTCATGTCCTTAGCTTAGATATAGTGTAGTTGCTTTACTTTCTTAAATGTGAGGACAATCCATGCTTGTTGTTTGATATTCCATACTTATGAATGCAAGTAGTATTATTCTCTAACTTGTTAGTGTCTTGATTGTGAGCTTAAAGGAAGGAATAATGGCTTAGTTTGATATATTGTGCTATTCATTAAGTTGTCTAGACATTATATGCTTAATTAGTCAATTCATGCTTGTTGATTCAATCAATCACACCACTTTGTATTGCAACACATGTTTCCCCTCATTCATTACACATTGAGTGTCTAGAATGGTGATATTTAGTGGTGACCTCTAGATCCCAAGACCTCTCTCTCTTGTTCTCTACTACCCTTTTATTTAATTCAATTGTTTAGTATTGAATTTATTTACATTGTAGTTCAATTAACCAATCAAAACACCTTTTGAGCACTCGACCTACTAATCCGACCTTGTTTCCATATTAACACAGCCCCCAATCCCTTGGGACGATCCCTACTCACCTTAGCTATATTTAGTAGTTAGAATTAGTTTTGGCTTTTTATAAATTCAAAACTTAGCCACACCAGCCTCCATCACAGTCGACATCATCAAAGCCGAGCTTGTCGTTGCTCCATCACAGGCGACATCATTCAAAGCCGAGCCCTCTGAGCCGCCGTCAGTCCTTCTAGCGAGTTATTGCCGAAATTCTTCATCACAGCCGCGTCATTCACAGCCGAGAAGCTCACAGCCGAGCTTCTCCTTGTCCACCGATGCCGCGAGGCAAGGTCACAGCCAGTTTATTCTGTCACCGCCGCTACACTGCGGTTCTAAGTTCCCTGCACTGTCTTTGTTCACCGGTGTTGCCGATGATGGGGCTTCTGGTTCTCGTTGAAGCCGGCGATTAGGACGATCACGGAGGTGCAAAAGGCGGGTTTGAAACTCTAAGACACAATTCATCTCGTGATGAAGAAGACCAAGCAGAAGTTAATTGAAAACCACGTGCACGCGTGTGTTTTGGTAGAAGGGGTAATTTTGTCTAAGAAATTGCTTAAATTGGTCACTATAACAGAGTTAGGTTACAATATTGAGTGCCTAGAAATTGCTTAAATTGGTCACTATTGCAACACATGTTTCCCTTCATTCATTACACATTAAGTGTCTAGAATGGTGATATTTAGTGGTTACCTCTAGATCCCAAGACCTCTCTCTCTTGTTCTTTACCTTTTTATTTACTTCAATTATTTAGTATTGAATTTATTTACATTGTAGTTCAATTAACCAATCAAAACACCTTTTGATCACTCGACCTACTAATCTGACCTTGTTTCTATATTAACACAGCCCCCAATCCCTTGGGACGATCCCTACTCACCCTAGCTATATTTAGTAGTTACAATTAGTATTGGCTTTTTATAAATTCAAAACTTGGCCACACCAGCCTCCATCACAGTCGACATCATCAAAGCTGAGCTTATCGTTGCTCCATTACGGGCGACATCATTCAAAGCTGAGCCCTCTAAGCCGCCGTCAGTCCTTCTAGCGAGTTATTGCCGAAGTTCTTCATCACAGCCGCGTCATTCATGGCCGAGAAGCTCACAGCCGAGCTTCTCCTTGTCCACCGATGCCGCGAGGCAAGGTCACAGCCGGTCCATTCTGTCACCGCCGCTGCATTGCGGTTCCAAGTTCCTTGCACCGTCTTTGTTCACCGGTGTTGCTGATGATGGGGCTTCTGGTTCTCGCTGAAGCCGGCGGTTAGGACGGTCACAGAGGTGCAAAAGGCGGGTTTGAAACTTTAAGACACAATTCATCTCGTGATGAAGAGGACCAAGCAGAAGTTAATTGAAAACAACGTGCACGCGTGTGTTTTGGTAGAAGGGGTAATTTTGTCTAAGAAATTGCTTAAATTGGTCACTATAACAGAGTTAGGTTAAAATAACCCCCCCCCCCCCCCCCTTCACACAGAGCTATATAGTTAGTTGAGGGGGGTTTCATGCTAAACATATTCATAAACGGGTTTGGTAAGGGGTGATAGTCAACCCCCCCCCCCCCCCCCCCCCCCCCCCCCAACAAGCTATATAGTTAGTTGAGAGGGGTTTCACGGGGGTTTCATGCTAAACATATTCATAAAAGGGTTTGCTAAAGGGTGATAGTCAAAGGGTTTTTTTTTTTTTTCCAATTCGTCCTATTTAATTTTATAAAAGAAAATTTAATTATTGAAAGAAAATTATTTATTTAATTCAATAAAAAGAAATCAAATTACAAAAGAAAAATTATTTATTTAATTTAATAAAAGAAAATAAAATTAGAGAAGTGTAAATATATAATATTAAAAAACTTATTTATTTAATTCAATAAAATAAATTCTAATTAAAAAATAAGTTTTATACTTATCTTTTAAGTCACTCCATCCTTTTTAATGTATAAAATTTATACCTTTTTCACAATTCTATACTATAAACACTCTTTAACTTACCTAAAAAGAGTAACTCTTTCTACTGAATAATAATAATAATAATAAGCTAAACAACGTAAACTCTTTCTAATGAATGAAAAAAAAAAAAAAGCAGGAGAAGTCACTGATGTAGCTTTAAAAATTTATTTATTTATTTTGATAAAAAAATCTAATTAGAGAAGGAAATATATAAATACTTAATATAAAAAATTATTTATTTAATTCAATAAAAAAAATCTAATTAAAGAAGTAGTAAACTCTTTTTAATAAATAAATAATAAACAAACGTAAACTCTTCTAATGTAATTAAAAAAAAAAAACTTATAAAAAAAATAATAAAACAAGGAATAAAAGTAAAACATAATAAACGTAAAGGAATAAATAATTCTATACATAAATTTATACCATTTTCTCAATTCTATACTATTATAAACACTCTTTAACTTACATAAAAAGAGTAAACTCTATCTAATGAAAAAATAACAATAATATAAAAATAAAATAAACAACGTTTTTAATGAAAAAAAAGATGCTTTCTAAATAGGAGAAGTCCACTAATATCGCCTAAACAATTTACCATACAACTGTTGTTTCATTTGAGAATTGGATTCTCTGCACTGTCATTTGCGATTAGAATGACTCTTCATCTTTTATTAAATATGATAATTAGAGACTGATTGAAGAGACTAATTGAAATTTGTGGAGATTAAAATTGTTTATAAGAAATTAAATAATTAATTTTTTTTAAAAAAAAAAAAAAACTGGAGATTAGAGTTGTTTATTAGTGAATTAATAATTTAATGCATGTACACTTTAACTAATTATATATGTATACATACACATATATTATGTACGGAGTAATTTAAGTTCATCTATTACTATTTGATTAAATTTTGTTTTTTTGATTAATTCACATTAATATTTCATTTCAACTCATTAACAAAGGCAGTTTCTAAACCAATGCAGCCCAACCTAAGAAAGGCCAGGTTCTAAACCAATGCAGCCCAACCTATTTGATTCACATTTCGCCCAAAGCCCGCATCGTTACAGCCCATCTGTCCTTAAACCCTAATCATTCCTAGCTTTCCATTTTCCATTTTGTCATCTAAACCCTAACATGAACGACATAGAGGCAATAGTTCGGCGACCGCTGCAAAATGCTATCTGAGGTTAGTGCTCTCTCTCTCTCTCTTCCTTTCTCATTTGTGATTCCAAAGTAACTTTGGAGACGAAACACTGAAAGTGGATTGATGTATAAATATTTTACAGCCCTAATTTTATAGTCTCGGCAAATCTCTGGAAAGGGGACGGCATCAAAGGAGACGAGGACACGACTTCAAAGGGCAGTCTCTATCCGGTATATCTCTCTACAAACACTACTCACTGGCTTTGATTTATATGTACACCCCTTTTATATATATAAACCCCACTTTATCTGTCTTGTCCGCTCCACATTGAATTTTGGGTGAAAGTAGGTGGTGGTTCAACAAATTCCCCACCTCCATAGATAAAAGTTTACCTGTATCTGTAAAATGTAAACTATATGTGCAGTTGGTCATGGAATCTACGGGATTAGTTCGTTGTTACTATTTCAAGAACGGATGCATTTGGCGAGGTAGTAAATCAGCGCGCGACTTTCACGGAGATAATTGTGGAATGGCTCCCGTTGGATGCCCATGTGGACATCAGACAGTAATTTCTAAATTACTTCAGCATGAAAAAGAATGTCCAGTAAGTAATATTGTAATATGATTATAGATGTCACTCTTAAAAATAGGGCATCTTTTCTCTCTGAATAATTTTGGCTCAACAGGCAGTGGCACTGGGGCTGGTATCTGAGGATGCGCAACCACGGGTAGAACAACAAAGCTACAGGCATTCCGTACCTCAGTTTGACACTGGTGGGCTTCCCATTATTTTCCCCCCAGACAAATCCAATGTAAAATGTTCTTCCTTGTGTTCTTTTTGTTTCTTTAATTCTATTTTTTTTCTAGCCAAAAATATATATTCACTAAAATCTATAAATGTAATTAGTATAATTTTTATTAGTTGAATAAATACATAAACTTCACAAAATGTAACCATATATTGACGAGTTAAAAGACGGGCTTCTGAGGACGAGGATGACGATTCTGAGGTATCTTGTGTATCTAATCTTTCTATTCTTTCAGCATGCTTTATTTTTCTAGTCACTGTTTCAACTGAAAAGAAAAGGTAAGAGATGATAACTAATGCAATCTTTAATCAATCCTGACCAATTGATCTGTTTCTGTAATGTCTGTCTCTCTGCCTCTGGGGGTAGTAGGATAGTATATATATTATAGGTTTTTGAGCTTTCTATCAGTCCTCTACCTCCTTGTGTTCCTTTCTTTCCTTCATCATCAAACATTTGTGTTTCCTCAACAGGCAATGGCACTGGCAGCACTGGCGCTGGCAGCTGAGGATGCACAACCACCGGTATTCTTATTTCCAAAAAAATATATTCACTAATATCCATAGATTTTACTAGGCTCCTTTGAAAGGGGTTTGAAATTGAGGCAACTTAAATGATTTTCAAAAATCTCCATTGAAAGGGGATTATTAACTTATTTGGAAACCGTTGGATGAACACTTACTCAACCTGTTTGATTATTTTTTAGGGCTAAGTTTTTTAACTTTGTATGTGATCATGCTGTGACTTGACTAGTTGTACGTAGTTACCCTACTTGATTTATTTAATGTTAGGTTACTAAATTCTTCCTTGTGGACAAAATGTTGGTATGTAGAAGTTTATTGACTTTCAAAGTTGTTTTTTATTAGTAGAATGAATCGATAGTTTAAGTATTTTTCAGTCATTGTGATTAAAAGGCTTTGTCCACTGATATTTATCTTGGCAGCTTATTGCTTTTTGATAAAAGGACTTATATATATATATATAATTTTGAATGCTTTTGAGTTGATACAGGTTGTTGCAAATTGGACTCGATTTTCTGGGAATTTGGTGGAGTCCACCATGGCAATCCATTATAGATATACTATAACCGATCACTACCCAAAGGGTTGGATAGAGCAATTTGGGAATGAAGATATATCAGCAAGATTTTTTCAGTACGCTAACACCACCGAGAACTGGCAGTTTGTTCTGAATTCTGCAAGAATCTCAGCTGCTGTAAAAACAAAGTACCTCCTGGCAACAAAACAAGTTCATTTTAATTCGGCCCTCAACCGAATTATACTCTGTCATGACAATTTTGATGCCTTATTCCTGCCATGGATTACAAGGAACCCAGAGAAAAAAACCATTATCGGTATAGATGGATTCATGGATGACTATTGGATAAAAAGTATAAAGTATGTATCATTTTTCTCTATTATTATTAGTTTTTGTTTTCCATTTAAATGTAGGGATATTTTTACAATTTTTTGTTTTGTTACAGAAATTTATTGGAGACTCTTCAAACGATCCATGAAAAGAAGATGGCACATGGTAACGCTAACTTTTTTGATTCGTATGTTGTTAATGATGATGAAATGTATCTGGTTCTCCCGAGTGTGGATGGAAGCAATATGAACAATGATGACTTTGAAAGACACAAGTCAAAGGATTTGCAAGGATTAAAATCCTTTTTACTGGCTTTGGCTGACATGACCAAATTGACAGATAGACTTGGTGATTGGTCAAGTTTCATAAACTTGTTTGATCATCCCAGGATCTCGTAAGTAAATTTTTTTTTTTGTCCATCAGTTTTTAGAGTGGTCGTATATCTTATGATTTCTTAAGAATTTGGCATCCATTTTTGTTGTGTAGAGCTTCGAAGCTCAAAGACCATCCTATTTTTATGAATGGGCTTCAAAGAGCCGGCTTCATTGCTTCCGTCTGTGATTTTTTGGAGTTCTCCGAATTTAAATTTCATTCGCAGCTGCTGAATGAGGTTTACACAGCAACTAGTTCGTGGTCTTCAGGTGGTTGGTACCAGGCCGTTGAAGGTCATCCCGTTCCTATGGCAGTTTTTCATTTCAGGCCTGGTGACACCAATTACCGAGAATATGATGCTACTTGTGCAGAGGATCTTTTTCGTTATATTAGAAACTACCTACACCATGCTCGCGAAGACGCGAGACTGTCTGGATTACCTTTTGATAAAAATGATGCCGCTGCGGAGATTTCCAGAATGTTTCCTGCATACGTATCCTGTATCTACACCACCCTGGTTCAAAAATTCCCTAATTTCAATCTTTGGGATACTTGAGGTATGTTCCTTTATTTTTTAAGTTTAACTAACAGTTTTGTCTAGCTTTCTAAAAGAGAATATAATCATATATAAGCATGTTATAGTATTAGTACAAAAATAAGGTTTTTAATCTAGGCACTTTTATCAATTGCAATTAATAATTGAATTGAATTGGGCTTCCCAGATTGATGGTATTATTATGCATTATCTTGCATAACTAAGTCATTTATACTATGGGTTCGCTTGGAATTTTAAAGGTGTCATTAAATCATCCAATCCAAACAGGGCCTACGTGGTTATTTACAGTTGATGCACATATGTTTGATGTTTTTGTTATTTTCTTTAGTTTTACTTCTGAATGGGGGTGCTGCAATTAGAATTAGGGCCTAGTTTTGTCAAAAGTACACATAAATACATGCTTATACACTATATTTGTCCATGTATGGCGACTGATTAACCTTGTTTCTACTGGTTGCAGTTTTTTTTGGCGGATGGACAGTTTAACTGGTTAAACAGTTTTTTGCCTGCTACTTGACCGATAACTGTGTGTGAGAGTGTTTATGATATGTAATCAAAGGTTTAATACTTAGCTTAACTGGTTGAACAGGTTGTTTTGGCTGCTACTTGACTGGGATAACTGTGAGAGTGTTTATGATATGCAATCAAAGGTTTAATACTTAGGTTAACTGGTTGAACAGGTTGTTTTGGTTGGGATATTAATACAAGGTGGTTAAAGTTCAATTTTTCTTATTTTGAATTTTAAATATTTTATAGCATTATTTTGCTTGTTTCTTCTGCTAATTGTTGCCATGGTATGGTATTTAGACTAGTGATTATCTGGTGTGATTCCACCTGTGCCATTCTTCACCAAGACAAAACATCATTAGGTCATCAGCAAAGGCAATGTGAGAAATCCTGTACCATCGTAATACCCAAAACAAAGAGGAAAGGGGACATAGGGTCCCCTTGCCTAGGCACATTACTTCCCACAAAGTACCCCATTTAACTCTTCATTCAGAGAGAGTAAGGATGGTTAGTAATGCAGGCTTGCACCTAACCAATGAAGGAAAAAGGGAAGTTCATAAGCAAGAGCGTCTAAGAGGAATGTCGAGTTGACAGTAACATATGCTCTTTGAAGGACAACTTGATTTACTAACAATGCTAGGTAGAACATGCTTGAACTTATTAGTTAAAAGCTTATAAATAAGTTTGTTGATAGTATTGTAACAACCAATACGTCAAAACTCATTCATGTCGGATGGGTTCGGATTTTTCATGTCGGATGGGTTCGGATTTTGGGGAATGAGAGAAAGGTAAGTTGAATTGATCTCCTTAACAAGTTTCCCATTCGCTAAGAACTCCCTCACAACTTTTGAAACATCTTCACCTATAGGCTATAACATGGCCATGTTTTCTTCTTCTTCTTTTTATTTATTTATTTTAAAAAGCACTAAATCCATCAAGTCCAGGGCATTTGTTGGAATTGAGTGAGAAAAGTCGGAATGGAACTTAGAGGCTCAAGTAAAGGTCAGCTAAGATTTTAGTTCAATGATGTTTGAGCACATTAATACGAGGATTGTTGCCAATAATATGCTTGGAGGGAAACAGCTTCACTCTTTATGACTTACAGATTATGAGTAGCTTTCTCCATTTGGAAGTATGGGACTTACAATTCCAGTGCTAAAAGCCTTCATAAAGAACTTGGGCCATGTTTGGTATGAATGAATGGAACCAAATGGAGAGGGAATGGAATGTTTTTCTTTTTATTCTTTAATTTGGTAACTAATTTTAAAATTGGTATGATGATTCCTGACCATTCTCTAAAAATGATGATTCCACTAATTCATTTCCGGTCCCTTCCTTTGATGTCTCTGGCCGAACTTTCTACGACGAAGTCCTGTGTTTTTGGCACATGTTTAGGTAACTTCCTCCCACTTCTTCACTTTCTTCCCCCCAATTCCTCGATCAAACTGACTTGGCTAGCTAGCTGTTTTGTCCGAAGACTTTGCTCCCTGACACGGAGAAAAACAGCTTTCAAGCTACAGGCAAGGGTCATGCCGCGATGTGACTACAACTTTTACTTTCTCAAACCTTTCTTTCATCTCTATGCGTAGTTTTGATTCCTTTGTCTTTCATTAAAAATGGTGATTCCCACTAATTTATTCTGCTTTCTAACTAAATGAAAGATCATTTCATAAAATAAAAATAAAAAATAAAATAAAATAAAAAAATAAAAAAACGTTTGATGAAAAAGGCAGTCATCATAAAAAAAACGTGGCTATGTTCTTCCTCTCTCTCTCTCTCTCCACCGGAGAACCATGACTAGCTTTTGATATCACAGCTGCGACTAACCGAAAATGTCGTTTGAATTCAACTGGTTAAAATTTAACTTATCAAACAAACTAATGCAATGAAAGCTAATTCCAAACTGCTCATTATGATTGAATAATATTCAGTTATGATGGAATGCTGATTTTAATATTTGAAGGGACTAATTTCCGATATATATATATATATATATATTTGAAGGGACTAATGGCCTGCAAGTTTTCATATAGACGCCACATTGAATGCTCAAATAAAGGTAGATGTGGCTTGCACTGTGCAGAAGTGAATGAGACCCAATATGTTATCATCCCTACCACCAGGTGTGACGAGGATAATCTCACATTGGATAGAGATGAGGAGGGCATTGGACTTGAAAGGGCTGTAGATACTTTCATGCTGCTTGAGCGGCAGGATTAAAAAACGGATATGATATATAGATTTTTTTATCACTGGCAAGGTGCTCGTGTTTTTACCCGAAAGGAAATTTCTCGATTGAAAACGGTTCAACGAGCAGCACCCATAACTTTGATGTGACATACACTATTTTTCGGTCCAATTCTAACGTTTAGGGCATCAAAACAGGATCAAGACTTGTTAATTATTTCAAAACTTTTGTTCGTGATTTAAACATACTCAAAATGCTCTCAATTTGTATATTTAGTAATTTTTATTGATTTTGTTTCTTATTCTATTATTTATAGGCTTATTTTTTAATATTAGTTTCTTTATGATTTAGGTTTTATTTATTTATTATTATTATAAATACATATAATATTGGAGCGTAAATTATAATTAGTTTGTTTGCATTTGTGTTTCTCTTAAAAATTTGGGAGAAAAGAAATACTATGGTATAATTATGGCAGTTGGGTACTTCATAATTAAAAAAAGGGCAAAGTACAGAAAATTCCGGTAGCTTTTTCCGATAAACCTCATTTGTCTAATTTTTTTTACCAAAGAACCCCCCTGAACTTGTAGCCCTTTCCAAATTCCAACCCTTTTGTCTAATTTTTTACCAAAAAACCCCTCTTAACTATCTGAAGCGGGTAAAAGAGTTAATATTTGGATCACAATGCCCTTTTATTTAGATCTTAATTCTTCCGAATTTCAAAAATCATATCTCACAAATCGTACATTTAAAAGTTATAAAATAATATATGCACTGAAAGCTTATGAAATGAGGATTCCAGAAATATAATATTTGTACAATAAACCTTCATAACCAGAGAGAAATAGGCAATAATCTTATTTTATTTTTTAAAAAAAAAAAAAAAATCAGAATTATTAATTTGCATATGGAGCCGAATATATAAAAAATTTAGCCCCAACAGAGATCGATTTTATGAGATACATATTTTGCGTCAAAGTATTTTCATTCTTTTATAGACTCGTCAATTAATAAATAAATAAAATTGAATATTCCGTCTCTATTGGGGCTAATTTTTTTTATATGTTATCCTCCATATGAAAATGAATAATTATGAATTTGTTTTTGTAAATAACCCAACCCAAGTATTTTATAAAAAAAAATAAAATAAAATAAGATTTTTACAATAGATTTTTAGATTGTCTATTTCTCTATAGTTATGAAGTTATGTTAAACAAATCTTATATTTCTAAATCCTTGTTTTATTAACTTTCTGTTCATATATTATTTGTAATATTTGGATGTATGGTTTGTGAGATATGAATTTTTGAAATTCGAAAAAATTAAGATTTAAATAAAATGGTATTTTGGTCCAAATATCAACTCTTTTACCCCTTAAATAGTTAAGGGGGGTTCTTTGGTAAAAAATTAGACAAGGAGATTTATTGGAAAGGGTTACAAGTCGAGGAAGGTTCTTGGGTAAAAAATTAGACGATGGGTTTACTGAAAAAGATTACAAATCGAGGTGAGTTTTCTATACTTTGCCCAATTTAAAAAATACCGTAAAGAATGACCAATTAACCAATTAACTGTAATGATATGAATATGTTATCCGCCCTCCAATATTATCCTGCTCTAACTTCATTTATTTTTAAAATAAAATGACAGTATAGCCCTCTTCCTTGTTTCCACAACAATGAACTTTCTTTTATCATTTTTTGTATTTATTGAAAGCCTTATCAAGAACCCATTACATTGAAATTCAAAAATAAAACAAATTAACTTAACTCCTCAAAAATAAAACTTGAAACATTGCACCTATTTTGATTATTAGAAATAATATATCATTTTTAAAAAATTGGAGCGTTAGAGAAAAATGTTAGAATGTGAAGGGTAAATTACACTCAGACCCCCTGATGTCAGGTCATATTTAAGTAGATGAAGATTTTATTTTTAACTTTCACTTATGACACACCTCAACCCAATTTACACTATTTAATAAATTGAACAATTAGAATGTCTCTAACCATCCGCATTAACCTCATTCAAACATGAGGTCATCATACATCAGAATACCTGCTTAATAGTTTACAATTTACAACAAATTATAGGCATGTTATGCAAGTTCCGACAAAACTAAACCGTTAATTACAAGTTACACTAGTAAGTTTTATTACAATATTTACATCTTATATAAAATACGTTCCATTGTTCTATCCCCCATTCACACTCAAGACTTTAGACCTGTCAGTAGTGACACAATCTTTTACCTGAAAATATAGATATAGAAGAAGTGAACTTAAAACCCAGTGAATACAACATTACTACATCAGCATAATATAAATAAATATTATCAGACAACTTCAATTAAACTACATTAACATATAACTTCCAACTTTACATGTATTAAAATATAGTATTCTCCTTCTAGGCCAGAGTATAGATCTTATATAATATAGTACTCTCCTTATTGGCCAGGGTATGGACCTTATATAATATATTACTCTCCTTCCAGGTTAGAGTATGGATCTTATATAATATTACTCTTCAAACCAGAGTATGAATCTTGTATAATATAATCAAGTTATATATATGCATCTTCATTTCATATAAACAGTTTCAATTAAACACATCCAAGTATAAACTTCCAGTGAGTACACTTACCTTGACAACTCCCCAAATTGTTCACTTATCCTTTGGTATTGTCGAAATTGTTTGCTCCTTCTCCTTGCCTGAACAAAATTGAAATCACATCATACCCATTTCTAAAGAGAATTAATTCACAATTATCACTTCCATTATAAATCTCAAACTTTATACATAATTATAGCTAAAATTCTAATCACAACTATTTATATCAATTTTCAGCGTGATAATTCCCATAAAACATCCATGGTATTAATTCAATTAAAACAGCCATTGAATCAAGTACAAACACAAAACAGTCCTTCAATCAAGTACAAAATAATAAGGTAGATGATATATAAACTGGAAGAGTTAATTAGATTACTCATTATAAAAAAAAAAAAGATAAATAATAACTTTTAACATAAAATTACTAATTTAAAAATTCCTCACCTGTGCTAAAGTCTAACAAGAATCGTAATAATACTCCTTTCCCTTTCCCTTCTTTTATCACCTTTTCCCCCGTCCCCCCCCCCCCCCCCCCCTTCTCCTTCTTCCTTCTTCTTCTTCTTCTTCTTCTCTATATGGCCGAACCCCCCCCCCCCCCCCTTCTCCTTCTTCCTTCTTCTTCTTCTTCTTCTTCTCTATATGGCCGAACTCCCTCTGTTATACTTTTGCTTTCTTTATTTTACTTGTCAATACTAGTAGTAACTAACCCGTCCGAGGACCACTAGCTTCTACAGAAGCCTTGACCTTATCTAATATAGAGAGATAAACTACATAACATGTGCTTGGTCTATTCTTGTGCTGCCAACAATTTAATTTAACTCATAGATATTTAATAGGATAGATTTAGTTAAATAAGATAATAAAAAGGAAAACGTTAGAGATTGAGATATGGCAATAGATATTTAATAAGATAGGGTTTAATAAGAAGGGTTTAATAAAAAGAAAATGTTGGAGGGTTAATTAAGGAAATATATAATTAATGAATATTTATCCCATCAAATCTCATCAAATCCTGTCAAATGCGTTAATTAAGGAAATAAATAATTAATGAATATTTATTTCATCAAATCTTATCAAATCTTGACTTTTTAGATTGAATTTGAAACACAATTAAAAAGGTATTTGAAATTCTATAATTATCAAATCCCATTTGTAATTGAACAAGACAAATTTTATTTTCAAATCCAAATCCAACATTCCAAACAAAGCATAAGAAGCAAGACTGAGAAGTTTTCATAGGATGGAGACAGGAATGATGGTGGAGAAGGAGGAGAAACCACTAATGCCGGGAAAGAAGATGATGATTTTTCAAGTATACAAAAGTACTTTTGGTAATTTTGAGAAATCAATGTCCCTTACTCAAAGTTCCATAATTTTGAGGATCAATCTGTTAAATGCAATTTAAGATTTTGATTTATATATATATTTGGACGAGCTAGTAGCATAGATTTAGTTGAATAAAAGAAGAGGAAGGAAAACGTTAGAGATTGAGATATGGAGATATGATAATAGATATTTAATAGGATAGATTTAGTTAAATAAGAGAATAAGAAGGAAAACTAGAGATTGAGATATGATAGTAGATATTTAATATGATAGGGTTTAATAAGAAGAAGGGTTGTATATACATATATATATATATAGATATAGATATTTTTGGACGAGCTAGTAACATGGATTTAGTTAAATAAAAGAAGAGAAAGGAAAACGTTAGAGATTGAGATATGGAGATATGGTAATAGATATTTAATAGGATAGATTTAGTCAAATAAGAGAATAAGAAGGAAAACTAGAGATTGAGGTATGATAGTAGATATTTAATATGATAGGGTTTAATAAGAAGAAGGGTTTCATAACAATAAGTCGTTGGAGTCTTAATTAAGGAAATATATAATGAATAAATATTTATTCCATCAAATCCTGTCAAATCCCGTCAAATCCCAACTTTTTAGATTGAATTTAAAACGTGTTAATTAAGAAAATATATAATTAATGAATATTTATTGCATCAAATTCTGTCAAATCCGACATTTTAAACTGAATTTGAAACGCAATTAAAAAAGTATTTGAAATTCTATAATTATAAAATCCCATTGTAATTGAACAAGACAAATTTTGTTTCCAAATCCAAATCCAAATCCAAATCCAGCATTCCAAACAAAGCGTAAGAAGCACGACCAAGAAGTTTCATAAGATGGAGGCGGGAATGATGATGGAGAAGGAGGAGAAACCACTAGTGCCGGGAAAGAAGATGATGATAGAGGAGAAGGTGGAGGAGAGGATAGAAGACCAGAATTTGGAGGATGGAGTGGTGGAGAAGAAGGAGAAACCATGAGTGCCGGGAAAGAAGATGATGGTGGTGAAGAAGGACAAACCACGAGTGCCGGGAAAGAAGATGATGGTGGTGAAAAAGGACAAACCACGAGTGCCGGGAAAGAAGATGATGGTGGTGAAAAAGGACAAACCACGAGTGCCGGGAAATTCATGGATAAGAAGACATCATATATGGAGTCGGAGGAGGAATCCCTCCCCCAGCAGCAGGAGGATCTGAGGGAGGTATTCTTCCAGTAACCGGAGGAGGGATTGCAGAGAGATTGAAAACAGTGGTGGGATCATTAATTCAGCCCACATGTGAGCAAAAGGTAAGGTCGATAGTTTTCATAGTTTGCCAATTAAAAAATTCTTCTGTTTACTGCGATTTTCAAATTAGAGATGGGAAAAACTCTAGTAAAATCTGAAGGTTGATTTGCAGTGTTTAATAGAAGGAAGTATTTGGGCAAGGAAACCTCTCCACGTTTAGGGCCTGTGTCTTGTGCTATGGTGCGTAACGAATTATACTTAGCGTGTAGTTATTCGCAGCTTGACCTTCAGGGCGGCCAGATCCGCGAAGCTCCCGTTCATATGTTTGACACTTTGAATGAACGATTGATTGAGTTGCCGTCGTCATCTCATGGTTTTGTTACACCCAAACCTTTCCCCGTAGTTATGGCTGTTGCCACCTAGTCAAGAGATAGACTTTGTGATTGACTTAGCTCCAGGTACTACGCCTATTGCTAGAGCACCATACAAGATGGCACCAGTGGAGATACGAGAGCTGAGGGATCAGATTCAGCAATTACTTAGCCAGGGTTTTATTCGTATGAGTACTTCACCGTGGGAACACCAGTGTTGTTTGTGAAAAAGAATGATGATTTAATTCGCCTGTGTATAGATTACAGGGAGTTGAACAATGTTACTATTCGTAACAAGTATCATTTGCCCAGAATTGACGATCTTTTTGATCAGTTGAAGGAAGCTACATATTTCTCTAAAATTGATCTGCGTTCTGGATATCATTAACTTCGGGTTAGGGAGCATGATGTTCCTAGGACAGCGTTTCTCACTAGATATGGTTCTTATGAGTTTCGTGTTATACCTTTTGGATTGACTAACGCACCATCAGTCTTCGTGGATTTAATGAACATAGTCTTCAGGGCTTACTTAGATCAATTTGGCATCGTTTTCATTGATTATATTTTGATTTATTCTAATTCGGAGGACGATCATGCTAGACATCTTCGCACAGTGTTACAGACGCTTCGTAAACACCAGTTATATGCCAAGTTCGAGAAGTGTGAATTTTGGCAACGGGAAGTGAAATTTCTTGGTCACGTAGTGTCAGAAAGAGGAATAGTAGTAGATCCAGCCAAAGTTTCAGCAGTGGTATAGTGGGGACAAATAGGGAAATTTGCATTACTTTAACTAGTACTGATTGATGGGAGAAAGACATATGTCGATTAGTACAATTATTGGTAGCATTCTATTCAGGATTCCAAGAGATACTGGATCTGTTTTTTCGATTGCTCCCGATCCCCCTAATGGAATAGAGTACCATATCTTTCTCGGGAGCACATACGCAAATGGGATGCCAAGTTCGAGAAGTGTGAATTTTGGCAACGGGAAGTGAAATTTCTTGGTCACGTAGTGTCAGAAAGAGGAATAGTAGTAGATCCAGCCAAAGTTTCAGCAGTGGTATAGTGGGGACAGCCTACTTCACCTACCGAGTTTCAGAGTTTCCTCGAATTGACAGGATATTATCGTAGGTTCATTCAGGGGTTCTCAAAGCTAGCGGGACTACTCACTCATTTGACTAAGAAGGGTGTACGATTTGTGGTGTTAGAAAGCTTTTGATGAGCTAAAAAATAAGTTGACTTTTGCACCGGTTCTGTCTACTCCACAGAGCGGGATAGAGTATCTTGTCTACACAGATGCTTCTTTGCAAGGTCTTGGGTGTGTTTTGATGCAGGAGTAACGACCAATTTCGTATGGATCTCGTAAGCTTAAGCCTCATAAGCTTAATTATCCAACACACGATTTGGAGTTGGCAGCTGTGGTATTTGCATTATGCATTTGGAGGCATTATTTGTTGGGAGAGTCTTTCAGATTATTTAGTGATCACCAGAATCTGCAGTATCTGTTCACACAGCGGGAGCTGAATATAAGACAACGCCGATGGTTATAGTTTGTGAAAGATTATCATTTCTCTATACAATATCATTTTTTGTGTTCCAAATGAAAAATGAGTCATACTTTTAAAATTAGCCATCAAGCTTTCCAAACGCTAATTTATATTTCCTAATGATGAAGCATACTTATAACTCCTTTGGCGTGGAAACTTATTTGGAATTCTTGTAAATGAAGGCGCATATGGCATTCAAGATTCTAACATATTAGGGAACCCAAATAACGAAATATTTACCGATTAAAAAAAAAAAAAAAAAGTATATAAATTGCTAATCCAGCCATCGTCGAAGCAAATAACCTGAGAGAATTGGATTAGACCTTGCTCTTCTTACGGAGCATCTGCTTTTACTAGGTCTAAGGTTTAGAATTCTTAATCAAATAAACCAAATTCAAAATCAGAACTCTACTGATTAAAATTTTGTTTCGAAATCGTTTATTAACGCTCTTTTTTATTATATGAAAATAGTAAGAAAAGAAAAGAAGTGAATTTTTTTATTTTTTGAATACTTTAGAAGTTTGAGAGAAAATGACTTTTTAACTTTTTCATTAAATTTTCTTAAAAAAAAAAAAAAACACACATACACGCAGAAAAAAAATTTCACATCTGGAGAAAGTTTTTAAAACTTACAATAATATTATTTGTTTTATGAAAAGTTTCATGACATTTAAACTCGTTAGTTTTCAAAATTTTCTTGAAAAATTTATTTATTTTTCATTCACTTTATATATATATATATATATATATATATATTTTACTTTTTACATTTTACATTTTACATTTTACTTTCCACCATTAATTTCTGTCTAGCTAAACAAAAGTTTAGTCCACATGCCACAGATCATTCGCAGGCCCAATTAGCTGTTTTACCTTTAAAGGCCCATCTTACTTTCATCTCAATTTACTCAGGATTTGGAAAAGGTATCTGAATTGGAATAGGAATTGGAATCATAATGAAATTCTATTTATATGTACGGAATTATAATCATCTTCTCAACAAACCCTA